AACGTTCAAAACGGCATGCTTCGATCGCCCCCTGCATTGTTTCGCGAGTAAATCGCGCAGTAGAAACACGCGTGGAAGTGCGTGTCTGGGAGTCAAAACTGGCTTCATTTGGCTTCATGGGAGTCAAATTTTGGCTTCAAAATTTGCATGCGCAGTTTACTGAACGTAGCGTTCCAGTTATTTTTAGTTCAATGGTCCTAGCTGGGCTTCCCCATGGTGGGGTAATTAGCCCCCCCTCCCACCCCCCGTACCTTGCTCCCGATCTTGTGGAAGTATGGACACCGGACACCTCTTTCCGCGCCCCACTTTTCATTATCCTCAAGAAGATAAAAATATTTACAAGCTTGATAAAACAAAACAATATTGTAGTATAGATACGATTATAATTGATTTATTTAAGTTTCTATCGTTTTTATGCACGTTCATTAAAAGTATTGTTCATTAAAAAGTTAGGTGGGATTTTTATTTTATGTTTTCTCAAAGCCAAAGGCAGTACAGCTGAAAACAGAATGAAGTGTAGTTTTGGCTAGCCGTTTGCTTACATAAAGCAAAAATGTCGGGCTTTAGCAATAACAATATTTTAATGGCATTCGCAATTGACACATGACAATTGTTGTCAAAGGCAGGTTGTTTTCAGAACATCGTTTCCGTTTAGGTTAAGTAGTTTTAGTTTAGGTCTTGCGTCTTATTAATCGCAGTTTATTTTTTGACACGCAGATCTCTTGTGGCCAAATTGGGTGACGGATGATCAGTGGCGTAACACCCCCCATGTTTTCTAAAAACCGTTGGGGGGGGGGAAGAAAAAAATTTCGAACCATATTCAATGAATATTTCAATTAAAAAAATAGTCAGTGGATTCGTGTATTTGAAATGAAATATACAATGTATGTTTCTAGAAGCTAGGCTGGTCACAGACGCTCGTGCAATCTCGTTCAGGCTCGGGGAACGAGATTGACGCTCGTGCTATTCAACCTCGTACCAGAGACCTCGTACCGAGGGCTAGCCGCGAATTGAAGGCGGCGCTTCAACTCACGACTGGCCCTGGGTACGAGGTTGCGTGCTATTTTTGACAACGAAATTTTTGTGGTACAAAATAAACATTCTAACATGAAGTATGCCACCAGGCACTATTCACATAATCACATGCGATTCATAAACTGATCCTTTTCTTGAACAACTTTTGAAAGCAATTTTATTTGTCTTTTTTATGTTATTAAATCTTTCCATCATGTCTGAGAAAAGTGGATTTCAAAGTTCACTATTTGCAGGAATGAATTTCGGGAGAAGTAAGAGCGGTAATTCAAGCAAGACATTGACGTCGGAGAAGAATGAAATAGCGCTTGGAGCAGAAGGCAGTTCCTCGAGTAAAAAAGGTATACAAAATGTCTGTATAATCATTGTTGTGCATGGTCATGTGCGGTAGCACAGTACTCTTGACAGCTCTGTGTCAGTAGACGTCGTGGCAATGATAAGAAAGCTTTGGATGGATAGGGATACAACTACCTGAAAAATACAAGGAGAACTTCGACGTTTCGAGAAGCGAAGGCCCTTTGACCATAGGCAGTCTACTAGACGACTGAATTTAAATTAAAACTGCATTGAAATCCTAAAATTAACGAAAATAATCACAATTTAGCGAAATATATTGTTTTAGACAACTGGAAATATAGATAATTTTACCAATTTCGATTGTCTACCGATAAGAAAAAATCCGATACCAATAGACCTTTCCCCTTTTAAGTGAAAATTTGATCTAGACAACTCTGGACAAAAATTTCATCACAGCTTGAAAGAGCATCACAAAATTAGTAATATTCCGAAGTTTCTTTGCGAAATGTTGTAAAATGCGGGTAATATAGCCTTGCGAAGTTTGCCGTCATTTTGCATTACAAATGGGAAATTGATAATCAGATGATCAAACTGATTATCAATTTCCCGTTTGTAATACAAAATGACTGAAAAACGGCAAACTTTGCAAGGCTATATTATCCGCATTTTACAACATTTTGCAACAAAACTTCGGAATATTACTAATTTTGTGATGCTCTTTCAAGCTGTGATGAAATTTTTGTCCAGGCTAGTCTAGATCAAAATTTCACTTAAAAGGGGAAAGGTCTATTATTGGTCAATCACTAGGCGGTATTCGATACCAGCGATACCACAAACAGTGGTATTGATTACTGACTAAATTAATATTCAAAATGTGGTGTGCACAAAGTCATTTATAGAAAATATTTATTACGTTTGGGGTTTACTTATGGCTTTATTCAGTGGCGGAAATCTTGGTGGGGCGGTCGGTTGGAAATTTTGACCTAAAAGAGGGCTAAAACCAGCCTTTTCAAGTGCAAATGGGGGGGGGGGTTGTCGGAAATTTGAAAGTTTTGCCGGAAATTTAGGTGGCTTTGCCACCCCACCGGAAAAAGTGAATTTCCGCCACTGGCTTTATTCAGGTTACATACAGTAATGAAATATATTTTTCTGCTGACCGACAGGTATTGAAGGTAACCAATACTAGCAATTTAAGTACCGACGTCCAGTATCGGAAATAGAGATTTTGTGTTTATTTTGATATCGATACAGACGTCTGTAAGTGTTTATATTCTCACCTCGGGTTGCTTGAGACACAACATTTTTTGTTTGGCCTAATTTAATTTAAAGGACATTGGCAATAAAAAATTAGTTTGTCTCATTCAACAGAACTCTTAAAATTATGTACAGAACTCTATTACCGATTTTGCCATATCTAATGGACAACTTGCATGTTAGACTAAATTTTAATCTAAGCAAAGAGAAGGGAATCAAACACAAGAGTTGCAAAGAACATGATGACATTAGTAAAATGGCAAAATTCGGTTGCAAAATACAGAAAATATAGCCTTGCGAAGTTTGCATATTTTCAGTATATTTGCATTACGTGCGGAAATTGTTACCATTTTCGGCTCAAAAATGGTAACAATTTTCGCATATAATACAAATATACTGAAAATATGCTAACTTTGCAAGGCTATATTTTTTGAATTTTACAACATTTTGTAACCAAATTTTGCATTTTTACTAATTTTAATAAATTCTTTACGGGAATTTACTTTTTTTGCCTGGATCAAAAATTTTTCTAACATGCAAGTTGTACATTGCTTAGTTCTCGAAGTATTTAGCCCGAAATTAATGAGCTGTTTGGCATCTTGGACTAATTCTTGACCTCATTAACTATGGTTTTGATGACATCGGGAGTTGGGTTAAACCTACCACTATATAAAATTACTACCACTATATAAAACTACTACCACTATGTAAAACTACTACCACTATATAAAACTACTACCACTATATAAAACTGCTACCACTATATAAAACTACTACCACTATATAAAACTACTACCACTATATAAAACTACTACCACTATGTAAAACTACTACCACTATGTAAAACTACTACCACTATGTAAAACTACTACCACTATGTAAAACTACTACCACTATGTAAAACTACTACCACTATGTAAAACTACTACCACTATATAAAACTACTACCACTATATAAAACTACTACCACTATATAAAACTACTACCACTATATAAAACTACTACCACTTTATAAAACTACTACCACTATATAAAACTACTACCACTATATAAAACTACTACCACTATGTAAAACTACTACCACTATATAAAACTGCTACCACTATATAAAACTACTACCACTATATAAAACTACTACCACTTTATAAAAGTACTACCACTTTATAAAAGTACTACCACGATGTAAAACTACTACCACTATGTAAAACTACTACCACTATATAAAACTACTACCACTATATAAAACTACTACCACTATATAAAACTACTACCACTATATAAAACTACTACCACTTTATAAAACTACTACCACTATATAAAACTACTACCACTATATAAAACTACTACCACTATATAAAACTACTACCACTATATAAAACTACTACCACTATATAAAAGTACTACCACTATATAAAACTACTACCACTATGTAAAACTACTACCACTATATAAAACTGCTACCACTATATAAAACTACTACCACTTTATAAAACTACTACCACTTTATAAAAGTACTACCACTATGTAAAACTACTACCACTATATAAAACTACTACCACTATATAAAACTACTACCACTATATAAAACTACTACCACTATATAAAACTACTACCACTATATAAAACTACTACCACTATATAAAACTACTACCACTATATAAAACTACTACCACTATATAAAACTACTACCACTATATAAAACTACTACCACTATATAAAACTACTACCACTATATAAAACTACTACCACTATATAAAACTACTACCACTATATAAAACTACTACCACTATATAAAACTGCTACCACTATATAAAACTGCTACCACTATATAAAACTGCTACCACTATGTAAAACTGCTACCACTATATAAAACTACTACCACTATATAAAACTACTATCACTATATAAAACTGCTACCACTATATAAAACTGCTACCACTATATAAAACTGCTACCACTATATAAAACTGCTACCACTATATAAAACTGCTACCATAGTTAATAAGTTCAAAAGCTTTTTTTGATTTGATGCAATAGTTTTGAGGATATAGGCCTTTAAACAATGAACTGTTCCTGACTGTAACTCGAGTTGGTTCCATTATTGTTTTACGTCCACGAAAATTTTAACTCGCTCACGCCTTCCTGGCTAGTACAACCAGAAATTTTTATCAGGTTTTGCTAGGTACATAGTGCCGGTTGTACTAGCCAGGATGGCGTGATTGATGATGAATCGCTTGTAAGAATGCGGACAAGTACTTGCGTGTGTTACGCTTCTGCAGTACCTCCTTATTCTGTGATTGTGCATAGGAGCCTGGGACTCAGGAACTGTAGGTAGTTTAGAGGCCTGTATCTTCGAAATTATTGCACTAAATCAAAAGATGCTTTGGAACTTATTAATTAACTAACTTTTTAAGCTCTTTTCAAATCCATAAAGGTCCCACAATTACATATTTATATTAGGGATGAGCCGATTAATCGGTACGGCCGATAAATTGGCCGATATTTGGCGTTCTTAAAATAATCGGTAATAGGCCGATTATTTTTTATAATCGGCTATTTGCCGATATTTGCAATTTTTTCGTTAAGAAAAATAACTCTATAATCTAGTAATCTATACTCCATCTTGTTTTTGACACTTTTGTTGTGGATATTTAATCCCATATCCATGAATTCATTTGACTCGTACAGTGACCGATAACTGTCCAATATGAGTAAATATTTTCCGGAACGCACTAAAACTAGTACGTCAATTTGTGGCGTATACACAAGTATTAAAAGTTGTCAAAAAACCGCTATCCGGCATTTGTACCCCGGTTCACAGAAACATCGGCCATAGCCGATTAATCGGCCGATTATTTTTTATATCGGCTCCAATGTATCGGATTGGCGAATCGGCTTTTTCTGGTATCGTCTCATCCCTAATTTATATGGGTCAACAATGGGAACACATTTGAATTTAATAATTTCAACTTTGCAGAATCTGTTGATAACAAGACAGCAGCTCATGGATCAAGTTTTAGTTTTATCACAGACACCAAATTAAACCAAGAAAAACAAACTGATGAAATGGCTGAAATTTCAACCAACAATGGTGCTTCTGTAATTGATTTGTTTGACACATTGGATGAAGGTGACTCCAGTAATGGAGATGGTCAATTATCTCTTTCTTATTCAGACCAGTTGGCAGAAATATTGCCCAGTACAATCCCTGTGGATGATACATTGTTACCAGGTATTTCAGGGGAAGACATTGATAGTTCTTCAGAAGATGATATACCAGAGTATGAAATAAGCAATTATATTACTAATACTGCAAGCACCTTTGTACAAGATGAAAAAATCACTTGTGCTAACAAAGCATTGGAGCAGCCTGGTGACAGCTTTGGTGTACCGGATGGTACAAATGAACTGGATTTGAGTCGAGACCATCCAAAATACATTACCAAGAGTGCTACAGATGAGGCAGACATGAAGTACATTCTGGAACTTGACCCAGAGGAAAATTTGACATTGTTTTATTCTCAGCATTCATTTAAACTGACCAAATTAAGGTATGGCCGGTGTATGGTGTATAATACATACATTGTTTATGCATGTACGTAATAGAGGTTCATTAACCCGTTGAATGGCAGTACTCTCCCCTTGATGAGTAAATGTCTGGTTTAGACAGTGTAAAATGATAATGTAGGGTGCATCAGAGCAAATTGCCACTGAAAGGGTTAACCATTAAGCTGCAATGGAACCCATCTATAGAGGGAAGTTGAGGGGCAGATAAAAAGTTGCCCATCCAGTATAAAAAAAAATTTCTGTCATAAACATCCCAAAATTTAGGGATACGGAGAAGGGGCAGACATGTCACCAAGGTTGTTCCATCTGATTTTTAAGTGGAATCTGCCTGACACCTAGCGCTCCCCTACGCCTAACAATGTGACAAATGTTGGTCGCATTAAAGCACATGTTAAATGGACACATAGGCAGCGCTAGTCAGTTAACCCATTAATGCATAAGACACATACTCCCATCATCGACAAGTGAAATGGTCTGGTGTGTTGCAGCATAATGGGTTAACAAGAAAAGAATAATGTGTTTAGCCTGCAAATACACTTTTTTTCTCTCAAAAGATAAGTATATTCTTGGGCAAACATTTTGTTTGGGCATGCAGTGGAATGTTTTAAACCTTCTGTGGGATGGATTAGGTCGAGCCATGCATCACTCTTTTAATTAAAAACAGACAACTTACTCTGGGATCTTTTGATTCTAGAGATGAAAGAGAAGAACTACAACACAACATATGTGCTGTCTACAAAGATATCAGAAGTAAAATGGTCTTGTTAGAGGACCAATTGACGAACTTGAAAACAGACTTTGATGAAGCACTAAGTAATGATGATTATGACTTGGCTGCAGAAATTAATGCGCAGTTAGAGGAATTAAATACAGAAAAGTTTGAGTTGGGATGTTCAAGGCCAAAGCTATTAGATACAAAGGTATTTTCAATTGACACATTTTTTGTTTTAAAAATATTTGCTGTTCCCTCCTTTTTGACCGTAGGGTTTCTGTGTTTTTCTAAACATGATTTGGTCGACCGAAGTGATTGTTTTGAGAGAAGAAATATTTTGTTGTGTAGATTCAGGAATCCCCCTTTGTATGAGCAGAAGTAGTTTAGTTTAGTTTAATAACTTCATCATCAAATTTACAGCAGATGATTGGTGAGCAGACAGAGCGTAGCCCCAATTGAATCTGCCTACCATAATTACGAACGAATAACTTACATTATAGTACAAATTTACAACTAAAACTAAAGAACTCCTATAGAAAATGCAGAAAATAAGATTAAAATTAAGGGATTAAGAGCCAGAGAAATAGATTAAAATTACGGAGGTATATAATTATTCAAAGTTTTGTAAAAAAGGTTCTCAGTTTCCTCTTAAAGGCTCTAATCTTCGCAACAGCCTTCAGATCATCTGGTAATAGATTCCAAGCTCTGATTACTCTTGGGAAATATGAGTGTCTATAAAATTCGGTGTTACATCTAATCTCATGAAAATTGTTAATGTTAAAAGATCTAATGAAAATGCAAATGATTTTGTCAATTATATTGTTTGTTGAGTAGTTTTCCCAATGTGTGTGGTGAAAATACATATAGCTGAGCTAGCTGCCACACAAGGCAGTTAACTCAGCAAGTTGCTCTTGTGTGCGGTGGGCTTTACCAGTGAACTTCTCAATATTTGCTGGCTTGCCGAGACTTTTTTTATTTATTGGTTGGTAGGTCGGGAAAATTTTTAGAAAAAACACACTGAGTATATTTAAAATCAATGTTTTTATCTTCTAAACATATAATAATTTCTTGGAGAAACATTGGCTAATCTCCATATTGATTGTAACGACGATAACATGAGCCAGAAGTACTTAGTCAAAGTTTACTTGGCGTGCACTTCATGTCAGACCCCAAATTAACTAAAATCGTAGAATTGTCAGACATCCCAAATTTTTTATATTTTTCACTTTCTGAATAAGGTCTGCGGATCCGTAAACCAATGAATAAAAAAAGTCTCGCCCTATTTTTTTCCAACTGTACAGCTCGAAATTTTAATGTACAAACCACTATACATAATGTAATTGCTCTATTCTAAGTGGAAATTGTTCATCGTTTATGTTGTTTGCTTCTCTGATAGGTTGAAGAATTTTTCGCGTGTGCGATTGCTTTGCGAGGCTGTGAACTGGAATTCCACAAGTGGTCACTAACAAAATATCAAGACTTGCAGAAACAACAAAATGATTTGTTGGAAAGACACAAAAGGCAGTATTCTAATGAAATAAACGACAAGAAACAAGAACTAGCTTATGAAAAGGATAAAATTAATAGATCTCTTCAGCACCTACAACTTGACAAGGAGCATTTGGAAAAGGATAGGACTGATTTGGATGAGAGAATTAACTCAAAACTTGAAGTTTTTCAAAATAGGAAGAAAGAACTGATCTCAAAACAGTTTGATTTGGAAACAGAAATTGAACAGCTGGAAAAACGATTGAAGGAATTACGAAGTGAAAAAAAGGAAGTGGAATGTTTCATCCAAGATGAAGATGACAAGATGGCGACAGTCAGAAAAGACTTTGAGAGTTTGGAGATGAAATTAAATGAAAGATGGGGCGAAGTGAAAGGCGAGGAAGAAATATTAAAGGGAAATTTGGTATGTACATGAATGGGAGGTCTCCATCATTGCGACCGACCTGTTGGAGTGTATTGAATACTAGGTGTGAGTGTAATGAATGATCTGTCTTTACTGTACTCTTTCTAGGAAGATATTTTTATGAGGGAAAAAGAGTTGGATCTAACTGCCACTCAACAGCAGCTCAAGGAAGAAAGGTGAGACAACTTTTTATAACATCAATCATGTGAACATCACATGCACCATATTCTCACCAACTGCATCGTCATCATCACCACCGTAACCAGCATCGTCACTATCATATTCACCACCATCATAGTCACCACCATAATCAGCATTGTCACCACCATAATCATCACCATTACCTTCATAATCATCAGCATTACCACCATAATCATCACTATTACCACCATAATCGTCACCATTACCTCACAATTACACCATAATTATTACCTCACCATTACCACCATAATCATCACCATTAACTCACCATTACCACCATAATCATCACCATTACCACCATAATTGTCACCATTACTACCATAATCATCACCATTACCACCATAATCATCACCATTACCTCACCATTACCACCATAATCAGGGCTGCAAATATATATTTGACTTGACAGGACATTTGTCCGATCACTTGTAATTTTGGTCGGACATAACCTGAATTTGGTCGGACAAAAACAAACATCACTAAATTTGGTCGGACATATATATGTGACAAAATATATATAAGTCACGAGACAAATATGTATTCCATTCTGGCGCAACGTTAATTAAGTAAAATTAAATGCTATAGAACGCCTCGTAAATTTTATTGCAAAATGCAAATTGGTGAATTTGCAATCAGATTTTGTCACAGCAAAAAAATGTATAATGTGACAATTTATTTTGTGATCGGACCAATGTCCGATCAAAATCACTTTTGCTCGGACATTTGCCAAATTTAGTCGGACATTGTCCGATGTCCAACAGTAATTTGCAGCCCTGATAATCGTCACCATTACCTCACCATTACCACCATAATCATGACCATTACCACCATAATCATGACCATTACCACCATAATCATCACCATTACCACCATAATCATCACCATTACCACCATAATCATCACCATTACCTCACCATTACCACATCATCACCATTACCTCACCATTACCACCATAATCATCACCATTACCATCACTATGACCATAATCACTACCATCACTAATTATCTTAATTCAACCATTCATTTCAGCCTGATGAAGACTCTCCGTTACCTTACTATCAATAAGAAGGAATCTGAAAATTTCATTGAAACTATGCAAAAAGAACCTGACCAGAATATACCAGACATATTTCTCACTCGTCTACCGCAAGATCATGGCGATCATCTAATAAAGTATGTAGCTTTTAATTTCAGAAAGTCAAAGTAATGTAAAGTAAACCTTGGTTTTATTATAATAGATAGCTTTACTAGTTATTACTCCAGTGTTACTACACGAATTATTACTCCAGTGTTACTACACAAATAAACTTAATATAAACTAAATTTCATTATACGGGATAGTTTTAACAGTTCTAAACTGTTCTTCCTAGAGGTCAGGAAAGGATCATCTCTTATTGGCCAATTTTTCCAAAAGGAGAAAACTTAATTTTAATTAACTTAGGGAGTGGTCATTATTTATGGGCAAGGGGGGGGGGTTGGTAAATGGGGAAAATAAGGATTGAAAAACTTTTTTGACCCCCTCCAGACTGAAGGCAAACTTTTTGTGCTCCCCCCTCATAAAAATAGAAGCTTGTCTAACCACCACCCCAATGTGGATTGAGAAACAGGTGTGTGTTGCAGGTAAAGTTAGATATTAGGACAATCTGTTTAATCTAGACATGGTATTATTTAGTTCAAAAACTTTTTTGACCCCCACTTTCTCTGTGTTAAAACTTTTTTGACGCTTTCTATTTATAAGGGTAAAACTTTGTTTGCCCCCCCTGTTCCATTTACCAACTCCTCCCCCCTTCCCTCCCCATAAATAATGACCACTCCCTTATCTGGACTTACAAAGTATCCTTTTAAAACCTGCATGACCCTGGTAAAGTAAATCTGCAACCACTCCTTTTGCATTTGACTTTTATGTTATTTTATATTATATTATTTAATATTATTTTATATCATTTTATATTATATTATTTTATATTATATTATTTTATATTATTATATAGTAGAGAGTGAGATACTGAGAAATACACAGTGACATATTTCCCATATCTTCACTAGTGAAGATATCGATCACATGACTTTTAGTATTTATACAATTTTTTTGCTTGGGACTATATAATAAACAGAACATTACACGGTGGCTTGAAGATATAACTTTTATCTTCTCGTATTAAAAACAATATTTTACTCACTTGCTGCGCTCGTTCGTAAAATATTGTTTTCACCACTCCGGGATAAAAAGTCATCTTCGTGCCGCTGTATAATATCCTCTATTTATATTATTTTGTATTATTTTATCTTATATTATTTTATATTATATTATTTTATATTATATTATTTTATATTATTTTATATTATATTATATTATTTTATTATTTTATATTATATTATTTTATTATTTTATATTATATTACTTTATATTATTTATATTATATTATTTTATATTATATTATTTTTTATAATATAGCATTTGTAAATTCTGAACGCTGATTGGCGAAGAGCCGTGTTGATATAACTCAATGTCAACACAGAAACGTCGGAAAATTTCTTTCTTTATGTTTCTTTGTGCGATATTATAAAACAAATATAAAACTTTTTTACGTATTGATATATAGTTATATCAACATGAGTGGAAATTGGGAAAACTCGAAATTGTGTGAAAACACTCCGCCCTTCCTGTTTCCACACAATTTCTTGTTTTCCCAATTTCCACTCGTGTTGATATAACTGTATATCACTGTATATCAACACAGAAAATGTTTTAATATTTGTTAAATATGATATTGTTTTATATTATATTGTTTTATTTATATTATTTTATATTATATTATTTTATATTATTTATATTATTTTATATTATATACTATTGATAAAATATACTATAAAAAATATATAGAAAATGTTCTGAATTGTTATAAACTGGCTAAAAATTTCTCGAATATCTCATTTGTATTACTTAAGATGTCAAATGTTTATTATAATCAACAAATTAATGTTTAAGAATGGCTCAGTAAGTTACTCTCGACAACTTCTGTATCAATTCCCATATCAGCTTGATGGCATTGTTGTCCCCTTATATTTTTATATTATATTATTTATATTATGTTATTTTATATTATATTTTATAATATAGCATTTGTAAATTCTGAACGCTGATTGGCTAAGAGCCGTGTTGATATAACTCCATGTCAACACGGGAAATTTTCCGCCGCTTGTAAACACGGAATTTTTTCTTATTCTTTGGGCTTTTGACATTGCTATATTATAAAACAAATATAAAACATTTTTTCCGTATTGATATATAGTTATATCAACACTCGTGGAAGTTGGGAAAACTCGAAATTGTGTGAAAACACTCCGCCCTTCGGGCGTTGTGTTTCCACACAATTTCTCGTTTTCCCAATTCCACTCGTGTTGATATAACTGTATATCAACACAGAAAATGTTTTATATTTGTTAAATATAAAATAATATAATATAAAATAATATAATTTAAATAATATAATATATATAATATTTTTTATGGACCAAAGATACTTTTTTATAAATTAATTTGGTTGCAGTGTAAATATAAAATAATATGATATAAAATAATATAATATAAAATAATATAATATAAAATAATATAATATAAAATAATATAATATAAAATAATATAAGATAATATAAAATAATATAAAATAATATATAGAGGACATTACACGGTGGCGCAAAGATAATGATACGACTTTTATCTTAAAACTTATGACTTTTATCTTCTCGTGTTAAAAACAATATTTTACTCACTTGCTGCGATCGTTTGTAAAATATTGTTTTCACCACTCGAAGATAAAAGTCTGTGCTGAGTGGTTATAGTACTACCTTAAAAAACAAGCAGAAAGTCTATGTTTCGAGCAAAGGCCCTTTGTCAACAGTTAGTAGCTTTCTAACGAAGGGCCTTCGCTTGAAACGTTGAGTTTCTGCTTGTTTTTTATAACCACTTGGCACAGTATTTTCACATTGGTACTACCTACACTGGTACAGACAGTTTTAGAAGATAAAAGTTGCATCTTTATCTTTGCGCCGCTGTGTAATGTCCTCTATATATTATTTTATATTATTTTATATTATATTATTTTATATTATTTTATATTATATTTTATTTTATATTATTTTATATTATATATTATTTACACTGCAAACAAATTAATTTATAAAAATGTATCTTTGGTTCATAAAAAATATTATATATATTATATTATTTTATATTATTTTATATTATATTATTTTATATTATATTATTTTATATTATTTTATATTATTTTATATTATTTTATTTTATATTATTTTATATTATACTATTTTATATTATTTTATATTATATTATTTTATATTATATTATTTTATATTATTTTATATTATATTATTTTATATTATTTTATATTATATTATTTTATGTTATACTATTTTATAATATTTTATATTATATTATTTTATATTATTTTATATTATTTTATATTATTTTATATTATATTATTTTATATTATTTTATATTATTTTATATTATACTATTTTATATTATGCTATTTTATATTATTTATTATATTATATTATTTTATATTATTTTATATTATATTATTTTATTTTATATTATACTATTTTATATTATTTTATATTATATTATTTTATATTATACTATTTTATATTATATTATTTTATATTATATTATTTTATATTATTTTATATTATATTATTTTATATTATATTATTTTATATTATACTATTTAATATTATTTTATATTATATTATTTTATATTATTATTTTATATTATATTTAACAAATATAAAACTTTTTCGTGTTGATATACAGTTGTATTATTATTCTGTTATATTTCGAGTTTTTCCAATTTCCACAAGTTTTATAACAGCACAAAGAAATATAATGAAAGAGTTTTCCGACGTGTTTTACCAATTTCCACGAATTTTATTATATAGCACAAAGAAATATAAACAAAAAAAATTTCGAACGTTTCCATGTTGACATTGCGCTATATCAACATGCCTCTTAGCCAATCAGCATTCAGAATTTACAATTGGTATATTATCATATTTTATATTATATTATTTTTATTACATTATGTTATTTTATATTAAATTTTATGATTTATATTATTTTATATTATATTATTTTATATCATTTTATATTATATATATTATATTATTTTGTATTATACTATTTTATATTATTTTATATTATATTATTTTTTCCGTGTTGACATTGAGCTATATCAACAAGCCAATCAGCATTCAGAATTTACAAGTGGTATATCATTATTTATAATATTTTATATTATATTATTTATATCATTTTATATTATATTATTTTATATTATATTATTTATATTATTTTATATTATATTATTTGATATTATTTTATATCATTTTATATTATATATATTATATTTTATATTACATTATTTTAATATATTACTTATATTATATTATTTTATATTATATTATTTTATAGATTGAAAAGTTTAGAGAAAGTTAAAGCCAAAGATTTACAAGATTTGGAATTACAGGTAATGTTATTATTTGCTAAATCAAGGTCTATTTGAGAAACCATTGGATGTTTATCAAACTGCAGAGATGCATTTGATTTGACACGCCTTGCAAAGACACATTTGATTTGATTGATTGATTTTAATAGATTTGATTTGGTACCAACACTTCACAAACACAGTACAAAATTACAAACTATTTTAAATATATCAGCATTGGTATATATCCATGACAAGGTTCTAACCGAGCTCTAGCTCGACAACTGGTCGCTGCACCGGAATCACATGTTTGATTCCTACCCAGGACCTGTAGGTACATTCTTTGCAGCTGTTCCTGATTAATAAATGTAGCTAGGCCAAAGCTTTTTTAACGAAACTTACTTTTTTATTGGATCATGCTTGTAAGTGTTTCCACTTAGAGGAAAAAGTTTGTGGAAAATTGAAATTTGAGGCAATATTAGGGAAATTTATCTTTGGATGTGGAAGCACTGACTAAACAAAATGGCGTCCGGTTGTTAGGAAAATAAAAAGAAAGTTTAAAAAAAAATATTTAAAACCGTCCTACCCTACCTAAGTTTTTATAAGAAGAAACCGCTTGTAATCTATTTTTATGTTTGCATTAAACATTAGGTGTTTAACCAAGAACAAGGGATATCAACTAAAACGAAGAGATTAAACGAAATACAAAATCAAATGCCCGATCTTGAAAAAGCTAAAAAATGCGCAGTGACTGACCACAATTTTAAAGAAGCAAAGAGAGTGAATGAACTGATCAAACAGTTGACAAGTGAAACCGAAATGTTGAACAACGATGTTGAACAAATGAAAAATACATTGACTGGGGATAAAGAGAAAACTGCAACGTTAAAAAAAGATCATGGTTCGGCGAAGAATGATGTCATCCAAGCGAAGGAGAACTACGGTACGTACTGTACGTAATTACAACAAGTTCTATTCATAGGCGCCGAAAGATCGATAAGTGGGGGGGGGACCATTTTCATATATTCGTGTTCACAGACCTTAAAAACAATCGATTTCAAAAGAAATTAATAATGCAGAACACGAATATATGAATATGCCCCCAACTTATCGATCTTTCGACGCCTATGGTTCTATTTAAACCATGAAAGTAAAAGCTATCGCCGACGTTTTCGTCCATTTTTAGGCCCTTTTTTATCTTTAAAAAAAGGGGGAAATGGCAAGAAACGTAAGTCTAAAGGCCATGTTACACGGTGCAATTTTTCTTGCAATGCAATTGCATAATTCTACTCAATTGTAGAATTGTACAATTGTAGAATTCTACTCTTGAGAGATGTTAATTAGTGAAATCAGTGAAGAATTTTCGATATGTTGAGAAACCATCAGCGGAGTGTAATGAAGACTCGTATTTGGCAATTTTACATCTCTCAAGAGTATAATTGCATTGCAAGTTGCAAGAAAAATTGGCCTTAACCCTTTAAAATTTCGTCCATTTTAGCCCCTCTTCATTTTTGAAAAGGCACTAAAAAAGTAAAGGCTAACCCATAGATATCTTATATGCACTAGATAGCGCATATAAGATATGTAGATAGCGCATCTCTTTTAGTAAAATTGAAGCCAAGAATATTCCAGCGGTTACCCCCATTTGAATATATCTGCCGGCCATATATATTGGAGTTTCCCACTCGATAAAAAAACGGTTAAAAACAACAATAACTTTTATCATTTGAATAGTTTGAAAATATATTTGTAATAGGTTTAACTTAATGAATAAGTTCCCTGTTTAAGAAATAGAAAACATACAAGTCTTCTCATTTCATGGCAATATCCTCAGTCTGCAATCACAGCTTCAATTTTTGAATGGCAGAATAATTAGATGCACTATCTAGTGTATATAAGATATCTATGCGCTAACTACTTAAGTTACTTTTCCTCAGGCGTTAAAATATCGGTCGGTCACGGACATTGTCCGACCCATTCGTGAAATGGTCCGACGTAGAGAGGAAACCACCGGACATTCTGTCCGACCAAAGTGAAACTGAGGTTTATTGTTTGTCCGACCTGAGTGTATTGGTGTCCGACCGAACTGTAGCTTTTGTCCGCCGTAAATCAAAATGTACCCTAGCCCAGGACTAGAGGCTTGTATGTTAAATGGAAAATCAGAGTACTATTGTATAAAAGGTGAACTGGAAATGTTGTTTTAACGTAGTCGAGCGCGGGGCGGCGAGCGAAATGGTGAAGTGGAAGTCTCTTTGACTGCTGTGCTGGCAAGCAAGTTAATTTTGGCTTGGAAATAAGTATGAAAGAAACAAATTATTTAATATCTTTACAACATTTGCCGTTTAGTCATTTGTGTCATTCAGACTTATTTCCGAGTCAAAACTGAACTGAAGGTCATTGGACATATGTCCGACCCAAACTCAACGTCACCGGACATTTTGTCAGACGGCCCTGGAAAAGATATTTTAAGGCCTGACTTTTCCTTAATTGCAGCCCTTTTTTCGCTTGTGAAAAATGGGCAAAAACTGCATGACAAAAGAGTAAGGCTATTTAACAATTATTCGCCGAAGGCGATGTGATTATCGGTGAATAAAAACCGAGACGAAGTCGAGGTTTTTATTCACGATAATCACCGAGCCCGAGGTGAATAATTGTTTTAGTATAATTTCATAGGTGATTATATGGAAAAAAATGTAAAAATACACATTTCTTCGTCATTTAATTGACAAAAAGGCTTCGGCCGCCATTTTGAAAATCGCTTAGGTGATTATCGCGTAATAATCACCTCAACGGCAACCAATCAGCGTGGAGAATTTTCAATAATCACCTATGTAATTATACTAAAACCCCATAACCTTTCGTCCATTTTTAGTCTTTTCTCAGTTTTGAAAAAATGGCAAAAATGTACTTTTTTGAAAAAGGGCAAAAAGTAAGGCTATATAGCCTTTACTTTTCGTCCATTTTTAGCGACGTTTTTGAAAGAGAGGCAAAAAACAGCAAAAAAGTAAGGCTTTACTTTTCGTCCATTTTTAGCCGATTTTTCAATTTTTGAAAAAGAGGAAGAAAAAAAAAAGTAAAGCTATAGCCTTTACTTTTCGTCCATTTTCAGCCGATTTTTCAATTTTTGAAAGAGGCAAAAAACAGCAAAAAAGTAAGGCTATATAGCCTTAACTTTTCGTCCATTTTTAGCGACTTTTGCCATTTTTCATAAGTGGGAAAAAACAGCAAAAAAGTAAGGCTATAGCCTTAACTTTTCGTCCATTTTTAGCGACTTTTGCCATTTTTCATAAGTGCGCAAAAAAAACAGCAAAAAAGTAAGCCTATAGCCTTAACTTTTCGTCCATTTTCAGCCACTTATCTCATTTTTCATAAAGCAGCAAAAAATAGCAAAAAAGTAAGCCTATAGCCTTAACTTTTCGTCCATTTTCAGCCACTTTTCTCATTTTTCATAAAGCAGCAAAAATTAGCAAAAAAGTAAGACTATAGCCTTAACTTTTCGTCCATTTTCAGCCACTTATCTCATAAAGCAGCAAAAATTAGCAAAAAAGTAAGCCTATAGCCTGAACTTTTCGTCCATTTTCAGCCACTTTTTCCATTTTTCATCAATGACCAAAAACAAACAAAAAAGTAAGGCTATAATA